GATTCAGCCACCTTAACCTCTACACCAACTGTTTACCCTGTTTTCTAGTTTTAAAAGTCATTTACATATTAAGTGCATTAGCCCTCTATCTAAATAATTTGCAAATTTTTCTCTTACTCTTTATTTAGCTTCAAGTATTCTTTGCTGTTTTAAAGTTTTTATTTTTTCCTAAAGTGATCAGTCTCATAAAAATGATTAGGGTTTGTGGCCAGCAAATGGCTCAGTGGTGTTGTCATTAGACTCCCATATAGCCAACTGTGATTTAAGTCTCAGACCTGGTGGCTTGAAAATTATGCCAGGCATGTATGTATGTGTGTGTGCCCAAGATTCCAGGAGGAGAATGGAGGAGACGGGCTTGCAGTATGGCCATCTCCCATGTGGGGGTAATTTCTCATTTTTCCTTTCATTGTCTCTGTCTCTCTCTGGCAGGCACACATGCCCTATGGCAGAAACCTCTTAAAAATAGTAATAATAATTGGGGTTTAAGATACTTCCAATCCTTTGCTGTGTGGAGGCTGGCCTTTCTAGCCTCTCTATGCCAGAAAGAAGCTAGAGTAGATGATGAAAGAGTCTTGGTATCTGCTGGGGCAAGTTGGAGGTCTGGGAAGATTGACAGGAATAGGATGAAACAGTGGTTCTTAACCTGTTGCTTGGAAACCTGAGATCAGAAGTCTGGAGAGAATAAGAAGAAAGAGGTTGGTGCTGTACCCAAGACCAGCTCAAGCAGATTGTTGGCAAGGTCCTCTCAAAGCACCCCCCCATGGGGTTTTGTGCAGCCCAGGGGACACTGTTGGAGTAGAGATAGAAACGGGAGCTGTGTTGCAGCTCCAGTCAGGCTGGTGACAGAGCCAGTGGGCTGTGGTGATGGTATAGGGTATAAAGGGCACAGGAGGAGCCCCAGGAGCTTGGGTGATGAACGATAACTCCTGTACAGGTGTGTGGTGACATCCTATTGCTGGTGGTTAATTACACTCATGAAATAAGTGTTGTGTGTGCTTTCTGTTTCATTTACGAAAGTGCAAACTTGAAGGTTGGGTTGGGAAGGGCTAAGCAAACCTATTCTCCAAGGATCCTTAAAACCAAGCTCTAGAAACAAGTGCAGAGCACAGGGTTCTCCCTGAATATTTACTTGTGGAGTTTATGGGGAGTGATGAAGAAGTTAAGATTTTGTGAAAATTGTATGTTAGGGTGACCCTGGTTGTAGGCTTTGAAAGAATTCACAAACTCAGGAAGTGGATAGAAAAGAATTTATTCACTTTCTAAGGGAGAAAAGGGACCAGATGTGAAGAGTTGCATCACCCTGGAAAGACTGGACAAGGAACTTTTATTAG